CGGCGGCGGCGGCGCGCGGGAAGTACTGCAGCGTCTGGCTCGGCTTCTCCGAGGGGATGATGCGCGACAGGTCGAACTCGGGGATGCCTGCCGCGCCGGGCCGGATGACCTCCTGCAGCTCCGGGTCCGTGAACACCGACGGCATGCTGTTCCCCAGCACGGCGAACGAGTCGGGGCCCCCCGGCTTGCAAAGTGCGGCGTCTGCGGAACCCTGGGCCAGGTTGCCCGGGCGGCCGAGCGGGCCCTCGCCCGGGAAGCCCATGCCGCCGGGGAAGCCGCCCTGACCCCCGCTCGGGCCGTTGTGGGGAAACAGGACTTGCTGGGGCGGGGACTGCACCGGGGGGAAGCCCTGGGGGAAGCCCATGCGGCCCTGGGGCCCCATGGCAGGCTCCTGGGCCCCGTGGCCCAGGATGGCGTTGTGGGCGATCAGGCCTGGCCCCACGGGCACCCCGTGGGGAGGGAGGCCGGGCCCCATGGCGCCCGGAGACGGCATCTGATTGGAGTGGGACAGCGGCTGGGTCATTCCCATGGGGCTGAGCGTTGGCATCGGAACCACGGGGTTGGGACCTGAAATTCGAGGAGGCTGGGTGTTAATGTGCATTCCTAGAAAGATAAATATATCTAAGGAGTCAACCCGCACAAAAGCAACTCACAGACACCAGGGTTGAGCAGATGGACAGGGGAAAAAAAAAACAAATGTGTTTTGCTCCTTAGGTGCAAGGACCTGTGCTGGAGAAACAACCAGCACACAGCTCCCCACCTTTAACCACAATCCTCAGATCTCAGCTTCCTGAGTAGCTAGGATTATAGATGTGAGCCACTAGTGCCTGGCTTAACTGACATAATTTTATCTTGCCTTAAGAAGAGACCATTTAAAAGTCCAGGTTACACAAAATATCTAGGAAGTGATAACTTCTATTGGGAAGAAAAGCCTACAGTTTTGTTTTTTTTTGGGGGGGGGTCCGGTTGTGGGGCCTGAACTCGGCCTGGGCGCTGTCCCTCAGCTCTTCAGCTCAAGGCTAGTGCTCTACCACTTGAGCCACAGCGCCACTTCCCGCTTTTTTCTTTTTGCTTATGTGGTGCTGAGGAATCAAACCCAGGGCCTCAGGCATGCAAGGCAAGCGCTCTACCACTGAGACACCTACCCAGCCCCTACAGTTCTACTATAGTCTCTGGGACATCTAAAATTTTGCTCTCTCTGGATTATAAATAAAGTATGAGGGGAGTGGTATTGGTGACATTTGTGGTTCATTTCCCAGCCTAGTTAATTAGGATTGCCTGGTCAACAGGTAGCAATCATAACCATCAGAATCAAACAGCTATAGCTCCTCCTGACCCCTTCCTGTGAGTAAGGCTGCTGGGGGGGGGGGGGGGGAGAGACTAGGAATGGAGGCAAGTAGAACAAGTAGGGAAAGAAGGGTTTTATTATCTCTCCAGTCCCAAAGAAAGACCACCCATCCCCACCCTGCAAATGGCGGCTTTCCATTGCCTGACACCCTGGGACCAACTACCTTTCCAGGAAAATACTTAGGAACTAAAGACATTCCAATCAGCAGATGAAGAAGTCATTTTTTAAAGTATTGCTGCAGGAGGACCCCCAAAACCTCAGAAAACACACACTCCATCTTGGTACAGAACTACAAGGAAACCTGCTTTCTTCTGAAGCAAACTAATCCAAAAGTGTTATCTTAGAGGGGCACCGGTGGCTCACACCTGTAAGCCTAGCTACTCAGGGGGCTGAGATCCAAGGAGGTTCGAAACAAGACCAATCTCTGAGACGCTTATCTCCAACCAGGCACACTAGCCTGGCAGGAGAAAGCCTCAGGGTAGTGAGGCCCCAGTCACCTGGGCCCCCCCTCCCCCATTTATCTACTGAGAAGACCCTTTCCAGCTGGGGACAGCTCCTCACCTGGCATGTTACTCATGGAGGGCAGGTTGGGGGAGCGGGCGGGCGGGGAGTCATCGTCGGAGCTGGCCACTGTCTTGATGGCGTCATGGTATAATGGGGTAGAGCTGGGCATGGCGAACTTAGACATTCGAGACATCATGATGGAGAGCGGGTTTTGGGAGAGGGTGGGCTCGGGAGGCATGGTGTACGGCGTGCTGGAGGGAAGACTTCCGGGGATATTCACAGAGGCAGGCTGGCTGGCAGCCGGAGGAGCTGGAGGGCCACCTACGAATAAAACCAAACCAACAGCCAGAGAATTAGATTCCTTTGGTAGGCTGCTGAATCCCAGGATCCTAAGCTGGCGAGGCCAGGGAGGAGATGGGGGAAGAGGAGGAGGAGGAAGGTGGGCAGAACACTGCAATTAGCTCCCAGGCACCCCCATCCGTCCTGCAGAGGGGGGTGCGGGGACACAAGCATGCGTGCCAGGAGTGTGTCAGGAATGTTAGTTCCAGCACGAGGAGAACACGATTTATAGACAAGAGTGTGACATGAGGGGATTTCTTTCCCTGGCCAATCTCCATTGAGAATCTGACTCGGGTCTGGAAGCAAGGCTTAAGACTGGCCGCATCACCTGACCCAAACTCTTCATTTCCACCATTTCCAGGTGTTTGAGCGGAGGGCCAGCTGTGCCGCTCTATTGCTACCCTGCCGAGACCAACGCTTCGGCTCGGTGAGATAAATGTCCTGCGTCAGTGCAGCCGGCACCAACCTGGTATTTACGGCTCGGGGCTGCTTCCACTGAGCGACCACCCCCCACCATCCCAAACCATCCTCGGCGCCAGTCTCTCCTGGGAAGAAAATCCTAAGAAATTGTAGGTGGTGTGTGGCTATGGCAATCTATCATGGAGACAAGTTCCCCAGGGTTGGGGAACCGTTTCTAGGGTCAGTCAACACACACATTGGAAAGGCAGCCGAGTGTGAGAGCACCTGCTGTCTTCGGGGCTGGGGTTCTGCTCGGGATCTTTGGAGCTGCAGGGACCCACCTTCGAGGAGGTGGGTCCAGTGTTTCATGAGGTCCCATTTAACCATTGGGAAGACAGTGGGAACTGACACGTGTTTCCCTCCTTTCAACAACCCCATGTGACACATGCAGGCCCTGCCAGGACTGGACCCCCATGCATAAATACATCGCTGCCCACGGGCACTCATCAGTACGTGTCCTGCCTGCCTGCCACACATGCTGGCAAAGGCTGCGGACGCGGCCTTAGTCTCAGTTTTCTTAAAGAAACTACATAGGGTCTGGCACCAGTGCCTCACGCCTGTAATCCCAGCTCATCAGGAGGCTGAGATCTGAGGATCACAGTTCAAAGCCAACCCCGGACAGGAAAGTCCATGAGACTCATCTCCAACAAACCACCAGAAACCCGGAAGCGGTGCTCGTCTTGAGCTGAAGAGCTTAGGGACAGTGCCCAGGCCCAGAGTTCAAACCCCACAACCGACCAAAAAAAAAGAAAAGAAACTGCATCGGGCTCGAGTAGAAGAGGAGGACAGAGGCACACTGACCTGACTCCACACTGCCCAGCATGGCTGGTGAGGTCATGGTGAGGGGGGCCTTGTGGTTTGGAGGGATCCCGGGGCTCTGGAGGGGAGGCTTGGGGGAGGAGGTCCATCCAGGGGACGGGGCGGGAAGCGATGGAGACTTGAGGTGAACGGGTGAAGCAGCAGCAGACCCCAGGACTGGGGGGGACTTAATGGAAGCAGCAGCAGCCGGGCCCGCCAGCATGCCTGCCAGCTGCGAGGGAGTCTGAGGAGATTTGAGGTTCCCCGACGGGGAGCCCAGCATCGGGGACTGGACTTGGTGCATGGTGGGCGATTTCAGAGGATTCATGCCGGGCGAGTGCACCTGGCTTCCGGCCACGGATATATCCAAGGGCTTGCGTCCCAGGCCCCGCTGGCCGGCCGGGGCGGGGTTGAGGCTCGTGGGGTTGCTGGAGGGGTTGAGAGGTAGTGGTGGCACGTGGCTGAGCCGGCTGTTAGTCCTTTGGTCGGGCCCGACGGCTTCTCTGAGGTTCCGCAAGCTGCTACTGCTGCTGCTGCTGCTGCCGCCGGGCCCCTGGGCCAGGGGGAGGAAGGGCCGGGGCCCCAGGCCGTACTCGGGCTGGGGGTGTTCTCCGAACGGCAGGGGCACCATCTTCTGCTGGCCGGGCAGCAGCTCCGAGCTCCCCGGCCGCAGCTTCATCATGTCCTCGGGGCCGGCCCCGGCATCCCTCATCTTCTGAGGTATCATCTGGGCGCCCGACGCCATGCTGACGTTGAGACTGACGTCGCCCTTCAGCCCGGCGGGCACCAGCCCGAACTCCAGCTCGCGCCCGGGGCCCAGCTGCGGGGCCATGCCCTTGGGGAAGTCCCCCCTGGACGGGCTCAGCGGGCCCTCCGCCGGACCCCGGGGGAAGATGGGGTTGTTCCCCGGCTCCAGGTGGCGCTGGGAGCCGGGCACCATCCTGTTCACGTCCAGGCCGGGCCGGATGCCCTCCATGCTCATGCCCGGCGGGAGGCCCAGCTGCTTCTCGGCCAGCTGCTGCTGGAACATCTCTTCCGACAGCCCCTGGGGGTTGGGGAAGCGCTCCCCTCGGCCGGGCCCGCTGAAGACGCCCTGGCCGGGAGGAAAGTTCCGGCCATCCCCCGGGATTTTGGCCACCTCGTCCGGCCAGCCGACTCCGGAGAGCCCCGGCCGAGGCGCCGAGCCGGGCACGCCGGGCCCCTCCAGGTCGGAGTTCATCATGCCGGCGAAGGCAGGGAGGCGCATCTGGCCGCCGGGCATGCCGGGGTGGGGGGCCATGCCCCGCGGGGGCAGAGAGTGCGACAGGCTGATGCCATCCGGGAAGGGCTCAGCGCCCCCCGGGGCCCAGCCGTCCCCAGGGGCCATCTGGTAGGGCGGGGGAGGCCCCCGGACCACGCCCCGAGGCCCGTGCTGGTGCGCCATCATGTCCTGCAGCGAGCACTGCTGCACCACCACCTGCTCCTGCTTCCGCCTCTTCTCCTCATAGAACTCCTGCTGCAGCTTTAGCCAGGCGATCTGCTCCGGAGTCATGTGGTCCAGGTGGTCGGAGTTCAAAGGAGGGGGGACCATGTCCTCGGGAGAAAAGGGGACGTCTCTGGGGCCCTGAGGACCGAATGGAGCTCCCACATCTGTCCGGGACCCAGGCCCCTTACCTAGACTTTGGGATTGAGCCATCATGGCCTGGATTGGCCCTTCTGGTTTTTTCTGGGGTCCATCTAACACCCCGGGGTTCTGCGGGGGTCCCCCACCTTGAGCTCCGGTGAATTCTTTCTCATCAGGGAAGAGCATGCGCTGGATGTCTCTGAGAGTTTGTAAGGAACGTTCGCGGTGTTCCAGCTGCTCCTGAGACAGGCCGTCGGGGTTCTCTCCCAGCGTGGGGGGCTCACCCCCGGACACTGGTGGAGGTGGAGGGGCTTTGGGATCTGCTGAAGAGCTGCTGCTCCCCTGGGAGACCGGGGTCACCGCTCGGTTGTTGGGCGTGGAGTTTGGCGCAGTACCGTCTGGGGGCAACGGGGTGGTGCTGGCAGGGCTGCCCACCGGAGGAATGAGTTTATTGTCTACCCCAGGACTCTCCTGGTCCAGGGGACGTGGGGGCACGGCGGGCTTGGGTGCTGGTGCCGGAATGGGTGGAGTCGGCTGCAGTCTGGTGTTCTGGGCAGAATTCTGGTCCTGGTTGGCTGGGGCCTGGGGCTGCTGTGGAAGAGGTTTTGGGTCATTCCGTAGGGCAGGTATCTGAGTGTTCTAGAAATAAGGGACACTGTTTTACTATCACTGGTAAATTAAGAACAACATTTAAAAGAACAAGATAGATTATCAGACTTGTCCTCATCACAGTAATCTAATCTGGCACTTGCTGTTGTGTGTGCATGCATGCACGCACGTGTGCACAACGCATGTGCACGTGCTGCTGTTCGAGCTTTAACTCAGGGAGTTCCAGAGAGTCTCTTAGAATTTTTTACTCAAGGCTGGTGTTCTACCACTTGATCCACAGCTCCACTTCTGGCAAGTATCAAAAGTCTTGTTATAAAAGGCCCTTTTTAGGACAGGGAGACTGAAAAAAAAGATCAAGTAATATCCTCTTTATCTTTCTATTAGATTTCAATAACTTTATGAGCCTGCCAGGAGACAGCCACCATGCCACGCTGAGCATGTTGGAGTATTTCAAAGAACAGGTTGGATTGCAACCAATTCAGTGTGGTTTCTGTTCAGGGCAAGCTTACTCCCTCTGAATACGGAAGACTAAACCCAACACCAATACAACTGGTGTGCAGACTTCTGTCAATCACACGCTCTGCTGCTTCCAAGTGGAGGTGCAAACGGAGGCAGCCCTGCACCCAGCAACAGAGCAGGGTGGAGCCGCCCAGCACTCCTCGGGCTGGGTAAGGAAATCGCCTCCTTGAGTTTCCTGGGGACCTGACATCTCTAGTTTCTGTTGGAGGTTTGTGATCACCGATTCCATATTTGATAAGTGTTTAGACATTAACTGCAGTAAGATAATCTGCAGGCAGGAAGCACTGATGGAGCAATCCAAGGCTATCTCGCTCGTGGATCTGTCCTTCCCAATAGCCAGAGAGCTGCCCTTTCTAACAGGTTGGATGATTGCCTTATTATTATTTATTAAGTGCCACTGCTACAGTAAGTACTGGATAAAAGCGCGCTCACCTGATAGGTGGCTTGAATACCATGACCGTATGCTGGATGGGTATGCATGCCCTGGCCCAAGACTCAAGACAGTACAGAGGGCCTGGTCTACAAACTGTCTTGGGGACTTTCTAGCAGCTCCACCTCCCTTCCTTGTGTTCATTTGCTTCTACTTGTTTTGCTGAATCCACTATGTATTCTCAAACCTCTAAGACTCACTCTGTCCTTCCCACTTAAGTCTCTGAGATGTTTCCCTATGTGTAACTCTATACACAAATCATTGTGTCTAGGCGTATGAACAGCTTATGCATCATATACACAAAGATCTACAATCTGTGAATCTACAATCTGTGAATACATGTGTGCATATAAATGCGTAACTTGCAGGTATTCATGCACACATAAAGATTTATGTGAAGCCAGGCACCAGTGGCTCACGCCTATAATCCTAAACTACTTAGGATGGTAAGCTTTGAGGATCGTGGTTCAAAGCCAGTCCAGGCAGAAAAGTCCATGAGACTCTTATCTCCAATTAATCAGCCAAACACTGGAAGTGGAAGTGTGGATGAAATGGTAAAAAAATGAGTAAAAAAGCCAAGTTAAGAACTAAAGGTCCTAAGTTCAAGCCCCATTACTGGCACCAAAAGAAAAACAAAAACATAACAACAACAAAAACACTGCATACTTTTTTCTAATGCAGCTTGTATTTGGTGTTTAAGATCCAGATGAGAAACAGTGATTTCTTACAATTTTGAAAACATCAAGCAGGTAAGAGCTTTCACTGTGAAATGAATCCTTCTGAAAACCACTGAGACTCTAATTATGGCACCATCATCGTGTCCGCCAGTACGGTAGTTTTAGTTGTTGCTTCTACGTTCTTCAGCTCACTCCAGAGTATTACAAAGCTTCTTGTTTTGGTTTGGTTTTTTAAAACACAAATCTGCTCTGCAGAATTCAAGTTTTCCTGGAGATAGTTCCATAAAGGAAACCTTGAGGTATCTGAATAATTCTTCTCTTCTTTATACCTTCTTCCCCTGGAAATTGATCATCAACCGGCATTCTGGCAGAAGAGGCTAGAAGAATATGCCTAAGGCCTGCAATGCTAGAACTAGGGTGAATGCCCAGAATGCAGCCCATGTGTGAAGACTAGCTCCATGCATTTTAGTGCGCCACCTCCCCATCCCATCCCCACCCCCGCTGCCCTGTGGCCCAAGAAAAACCACAGAGCCACTACACTACTACAACAACATACCAGAGGGGCTGTGCTTCTCTCTGTCTTGCTGTTGGAGATGTTCTGGATGTGGAAAGAGACGATCGTTTCAACTTGGCCCTTCAATACAGCTTCTGCAGCTCTGCAGAAACAGAAGAGGCAGAGCCAAGGAGCACTCAGTGGAACACACTCTCCAAACACTTCAACCCCAGAGTAACCTTGCATAGGCAGTGCTGAATGAGAAGAAATCAAAGGAAGCTTGTTTCTTTTTTGTTGTTGTTGTTGGTCATGGAGCGTGAACTCTGGGCCTGAGTGCTGTCTGAGCTCTTCAGCTCAAGGCTAGCTCTTTACCACTTGAGCCACAGCACCGCTTCCAAGTTTCTGGTGGTTTACTAGAGATAAGAGTCTCGGGGCTGGGAAGTTGGCTCAGTGGTAGAGCGCTTGCCTTGCATGCCTGAGGCCCTGGGTTCGATTCCTCAGCACCACATAAGCAAAAAGAAAAAAGCCGGAAGTGGCACTGTGGCTCAAGTGGCAGAGCGCTAGCCTTGAGCTGAAGAGCTGAAGGACAGCACCCAGGCCTAGAGTTCAGGCCCCACGACCGGCCACCCCCCCACACACCAAAAAAAAAAAAGAGTCTCATGGACTTTCCTGCTCCCGCTGGCTTTGAACTCGGATCCTCAGATCTCAGCTTCCCAAGTAACTAGAATGACAGGAGTGAGCCACTGGCGCCCAGCTAAGCTTGTTTCTTATTGATGCTTATCCTTTACCATCAAATGTCTGAAATTTTTAAAAAGCCATCTCAAAAAATTCCTTAAGAAAGCTAAAAACAAGCCTGTAATGCTGCAACTCAGGAGGCTGAGATCTGAGGACCACAGTTCAAAGTCTGCCCGGGCAATAAAGTCCATGAGACTCTTTATCTCCAATGAATCAGCAAAAAGCTGGAAGTGGAGCTGTGGCTCAAGTGGTCAAGTCCTCAGTGGTTGTCTCTGGGGATGGAGTTGGGGTGGATTTCTCTGCCATGGGAATTAGATCTCAGGACACACAAGCCATACTCAACAGCAAGACACAGACACTAACTTACTTATTGGCCATCTCAGTAGAAAACACATACACCACTTTGGCTGGAGTCTTCTGCGCAGGCGTGGGCTCGGGGGCAGTAGTCTGGCCGTGAGAGGGGGTGGAAGACCTGGGGGCCACCGCAGTGGATGGGGTCATCGAGTGTGGTGTATGTGACTCCTGGGACTTGATGTGGTCGGTAGAATTACATTCTAAGAGGATAAGACAACTCGCTTGTCACACAAACAAGACTTCCTTTTCTTTTTACTAGCTTTTAAAGCATCACAAGCCCACATTCAGAACTTCAGTAAGGAAGAAGCCAAGAAACCATCTCTTCTACTCATAAAATGTCAAATGCTCTTCTCCCCCAATGACTCATTACAGAGCATACCACCTCTCCTTTCTCCTGTAACAATTACACATCCACCAGACATGAATACTTTCCTTTTCTTTCTTTCCATCCCTTTCCTTTTTTTTTTTTTTTTTTTTGGTTGTGGGGCTTGAACTCTGGGCCTGGGCGCTGGCCCTCAGCTCTTCAGCTCAAGGCGAGTGCTCTACCACTTGAGCCACAAGAACACTTCCGGTTTTCTGGTGGTTTATTGGAGATAAGAGTCTCACGGACTTTCCTGCACAGGCTGGCTTTGACCAGTGAACCTTAGGTCTCAGCCTCCTGAGTAGCTAGGATTACAGGTGTGAGCTACCAATGCCTGGCTTCCCTTTCCTTTTTCTTGAAACTTCTTCTTTTTTTTTTTTTTTGCAGCAGGGTCTTACAATTGTCTATAGCCCCAGCTAGCCTGAGACTCATCATATAGCACAAGCTGGTCCTGAACCTACAAGTGCACCCCTCAGCCCCCCAAATTACGTTATAGGTGTGTACCCCCACATCCAATCCTGGCCATTTCTTGGATTCGGTTCATTGGACCTAACTGATCTCATAGTCCACTGCTTCTCCCTTGTTTCAGCATTTATTAAATTTTATTCTGGATAGCTTTTTAATTGTCTGCTTTCTAGAGGCACTAAAATCTTTTTTTTTTTTTGCCAGTCCTGGGCTTGAACTCGGGACCTAGGCACTGTCCCTGAGCTTCTTTTGCTCAAGGCTAGCCTTCTACCACCACTTGAGCCACGGCGCCACTTCCCATTTTTTCTTAGCTCATTGGAGATAAGCCTGTCTCAGACTTTTCTGCCCCGGCTGACTTAAATCCATGATCCTCCAGTCTCAGCCCACCCTCCCACCCCTTTTTTTTTTTTGCCAGTGCTGGGGCTTGATCTCAGGGCTTGAGCATTGTTCCTAAGCTTCTTTTACTCAAGGCTAGCACTCTACCATTTGAGCCAAAGCACTGTTTCTGGCTTTTTCTGTTTATGTGGCACTGAGGAATCCAACCCAGAGCTTCATACATGCTAGGCAAGCTCTCTACCATTAAGCCACCTTCCCAGCCCTGATCTCAGCCTCTTAGTGGCTGGGACTACAGGCATGAGCCACCAGTGCCTGGCTGACACTTAGATCTTTAAGGATGACAACCATGGAGCCCAGCACCCAGCACTCAGAACAGATTTCTCAAAATCACCTGGGGGAGAAAGGAAGCAAGGGAAGAAGGGAGGAGGGAGAAAAGAAGGAAAGAGGGAGAAACAATCACCCAGGCTTTCATCTTTAATTTGGGTTAGGAAATCACACGTTCATTCCTTAGGGATTAACTTCATGTTTAGGCCCACACTTAGGATTTCTGTTCTGACACTAGGAAGTAAACCTTAAAACCACACAGCAGACTCCTTCCTGGCTAACTCCATTTTGGTGCCTGCCAAATCTCTACCACATCTGGTAGCCACTTGTTTCTGCCACACTGAAATCAGCTGTGACAAATCTGGACTGGTGCGGGGTCATTAAGGCTTTCTCTTGTGTCCACAAGTCTGGCAAAGTGTCAACTGAGAGTACAGAACCCAAGCCATGGAGGATTTCTCTTGATGGAGAAGAGGAATGAATGCCAGAAAAAAAAAAAAAAAAAAAAAGAGCTCCAGTGTGGGCCACTGGCACAGGCCAGCAGGAGCAATTGGCTTGAATCTTGAGGTTCCAGTGTAACGAGAGGCCAGGAACACGCATTAGAACACAGGCATGCCAGCCAGCCCACCAAGCCACCGTCAAGAGTGGGAACTCCTCAAGGGAAAGGGTCTGTACTGAGTGGAAGAAGGGGACAAAACGCTTTCATCAAGAGCAGTGTGAACTCGGCAATCGGCCGCCTGCTCCCCCCACGTGGCTGCCAGCAGCCCCTCTGGATGGCACAGGCTAGCCCACGGGGATCCCTTATGGACATACCTTTTATGTCAGAGTCATCGTTTGGAGTCCCGGGATCTCTCTGATCAAAGGAGTCGGCGGAAATGCTTCGCTCCCTTTTCCCCTTGCCCTTGGCACCGTTTCCAGCCCCGTTCTTCAGCCCCATGCTCCCACCTGGGCCAGGAAGTGCTTTAGGGGTGTGGCCCCCACTCTTGGAGTCACAGGGGGATGGCTGGGATTGGCTGGTAGAGCCCCCCTGTTTACCCTGATTGGAGAATTTGGAGTCCAGCTGGGGGTTTCCAGATGGGGACATCACTGTAGGGGGACGAACCATCACCTCCTGCTTTGACTTGGGGCTACTGAAAGAAACAATGACAAGGAGGTCAGAGACCACACTCAGCTGTCAGCACACAGGCCAGAGATTTCTATCATGGGTCAAGGGGCTGCTAAGGATTAAACACCACCACCACCCCCCAGCCCCCATCATATTTCACCTCTGCCACCTGCTTTTCCCTTCTACCCAGCTCCCATCTCAGAGCTAACAGAGAGAAGGAAAGATCAAGCCTGCCAGGCCTTGGAAGCCTAGAGTCACATGGGGACCCATCTCTAGGGCTTCTGTCAATAAAAGACAACGGTTTCTATGTACATAGGGAAGAGACTCTCACACGAAGACTAGCTCAGAGTAAACAAACAGGCATCGTTAAGATCAAAATACTACCCGCCCCCAGGTGGATGACAAGGAGCCGAGGTATAGGGGAGTCCAGCTTCCCTGAAGCAAAAGGTAAGGGTCTGCCCATATGCGCTGATTAGGGAAACCCTCCGGGAACCCTCCGGCAACGCCCTCCAACCCAGCCTACTCCCCAAACAGGACATACCAACCTTGCCCAGGGGCAAGGAGAGCTGTTAGTGCTGGTACTGGATGCTCAGGGACTAGGTGCTGTCCTTGAACTTGTTTTTGTTCAAGGCTGGAGCTATGCCACTTGAGTCATACCTCCACTCTGGCTTTTTGCTGGTCAGCTGGAGATAGGAGTCTTGCAGACTCTCCTGCCTGGGTGGGCTTGGAAATGTGCTCCTCAGATCTCAGCTTCCTAGCATGAGCCACCAGTACCAGACAAAAAAGCCAAACAAACAAACGAACAAAAAAACCCTAACAGTGTGAATTTGGTGGAACAGAGGAAAAGCCTCATTGTGCATGTCAGGGCTGCAGATCAGTTGTCAGACCTTTGGCCTCTTCATCATCCCAGGCCTCAGTTCGAGGATCAATCAGGTTGGTCTTTAAGGTCATTTTGTGTGGGTTAGGACAGGTGGTAAAGGGGTGAGGCCAAAGAGTAGTGAATAAAAGAACTACCCAGCCTGCACCTGTAGCTCACACCTGTAATCCTAACTACTTGGGAGGCTGAGATCTCAGGATTGTAGTTCAAAACTAGCCCAGGCAAGAAAAATCCAAAAGACTTGTCTGCAATTAAACATCAAGTGGTAGAGCGCTAGCCTTGAGTAAAAGAGGCCAAGGGACAGCATTCAAGTTCCAAGTTCAAACCCCAGTACTGGCCCCCCAAAATAGAATCACCCAGGAAAACTGCAATGTAAGCTTACCAGTTTACTATTCCATCACGACTTCCTATCTTCTCCTCCTTTCCCACGTGGGTCTCATGTTCCACGAGTGAGGGTTGTTACTTCCCCCCTCTCTCCCCCCCCCCAGCCCCGCCTCAAGGGACGGCAGCAGAGGCCCTGGTCCTTACCTCTGTGTGTTTCCTGATGGAGAGTTCCTCACTTTAGGGTTACTGGAATGCATTGATTGAAATCCTGAGCTTGCACTCACACACAGGGACGGCTCCCCGAGTTCCTCTCGGGCTGCAGCCAAAGAAGCTGCTGGGGGCGGGGGCCCACTGTCTCCTGGGTGCGTCCCTTAGCGCTGGCCACCCGAGTGCCTTTTTCCTCTTTGTTTTTCTCCGCTGTGGAAGTGGGTCCTTTCCTCTCGCAGCTCCCGCATTCTCTGGGGGTGTGCCTCCGACTGCACAAGGAAAATCTCGCATCTCCAGGACACGCTGTGGGAAAGGAAAAAAATTAAAATAAAAAAGAAAGCTGACATGCTTGATGTCCAAGACCAGGACATCAAACATGCTACAACAGGCTTGAGACGCAGGTGAGAGCGCTAGCCAATGAGGCAGCGCCACATCACTGCTCCCTCCCGTCGGGGCTGAAGGGAAGGTCGAGGCTAGTGTTCTGGCTGCAGGCTGCCCAGCTAAGGCAGATCAAGCCTGACCAGGACTCAACCAACACCTGAGCCTCCAACCAAGCAGTGCGGACCAGGCCTTGGAAGCAAAGGAGAAAAGCCACTCAGTCTTTGATTATATGTTCTCCTCTATATTTCTGTGCCTCTGGACATAAAACTCATGTTTTCCTGTTTTCATAGCAATGTGAGTTTGGTTTGTTTCTTGCTGTGTTGTGCCAGTCCTAGAGCTTGAACCTAGAGGCCTGGGCACTGTCCCTTAGCTTTTCCACTCAAGTCTGGTGTTCTACCACTTGAGCCATAGCTCCATTTCCAGCTTTTTGGTGGTTGATTAGAGATAAGATTAACAGATTTGTCTGCCCTGGCTGACTTTGAACTACAAGAGTCAGATCTCCGCCTCCTGAGCAACTGGGATTACAGGTGTGAACCATGAGCATGAGCATCTAGCAAAGCAATGTGTTGAACCCCCGGGAACTGCAAAGTCACAGTGACCCAGCTCATCACAACGGCACCAAGACCCAGCAGACCCATCCCAGGCTCCAGCCGGACTGAGTGGATCCATGCTTCTGCTTTCAGCAGGGAAGAGGGCATGGAAGTACCACGTACTTCTGGAGCCAATACCTTGACTTCCCCAGACCCACTATTGAATGACATCTAGTTTGCATCGGTGTCCTCACTGCTAGACACAGCGATCACAGGCATGGTGAGAGTGGGAGGGACCAAGAATTATGAAGATTAAAGACCATCTTTGAAGGCGAAGATATTTTCTGAGCCAATTTGCAAGGCTAATTTGAAGCATAAAGGTCAAGAAAGTATTCCCGAACCCAGCTAGAGAACAAATGTGAAATTCCTTTGTTTAGGGAAGGTTTTACTTAAGCCTCAAGTGGTGATGTGGGTTTCTTGAACCCATCATCCTGTGCCCCTCCCGCCCAGCATCTTAAAAAGACAGAGTACAAGATGCAAGATATTGAGTACAGGACTGCTAGAGAAAGACTCAGAAAGAGTCGGGCATTAGAGGCTCATGCCTGTCATTCTAGTTACGCAGGAGACTGAGATCGGAGGACCACGGTTTAAAGTCAGCCCAGGTGGACAAATAAATCCCTAACACTCTGATCTTCAGCAAAAGCCAGAAATGGACATGTGACTCGTGGTAGAATGCCAGCCTTCAATGACCAAGCCAAGTTCAAGTCTCAGTACCAGTACACATACAAACAAACTAAAAATCAAAACGAGATTAATAGCTTAAGGGTTCCAGCTGACGTGTATTTTAAGAGCCTCAAGAACTGGACTAAAATTGGGAGAAACAGTTCATTATATTCTAGGTTTGGGAAGAACAATCACTATCTAGTGATCTAGTGTGAAATGTCTATTTCTTTATTTGAAAGACTACCTGTTTTACCTGGTCACTGAGAGGAAGTTATGAATGTTCTGAGTACACATGATTTTTTCTTTTTTAAATACAGGCAAAAAAAAAAAAAAAACAACCAAACCACACTAGAATAAAAACTATGAAATATTTCTGTGCAAATCTCAAGGGATAACAGTCACAAAACCATTTTTATCTTAACTATATTTTATACTATACTTTTTAATTTTTTACTTTCTAATGCCTTTACCTTTTTTTGTTAATTTTTTTAATTGTTTAGATGATACTGTGGACTGTGGTTATCAGATGATCTATAAGATCATAAACATTTTAGCATTGGGGCTTGTACTCCGGGCCTCCAGCTCTTGCTTGGCTTTTCTGCTCAAGGCTGGTGCTCTACCACTTGAGCCACAGCTCTACCTTCAGCTTTTTGCTGGATAACTGGAGATAAGAGTCTCATAGACTTTCCTGCTCAGGCTGGCTTCGAATCTTTTTTTTTTTTTCAGTTTTTTTTTTGGTCCGGTAGTGGGGCCTGAACTCTGGGCCTGGGCACTATCCCTTAGCTCTTCAGCTCAAGGCTAGCGCTCTACCACTTGAGCCACAGCGCCACTTCTGGATTTTTTCTTTTTGCTTATGTGGTGCTGAGGAATCGAACCCAGGGCCTCAGGCATGCAAGGCAAGCGCTCTACCATTGAGCCACCTTCCCAGCCCTGGCTTTGAATCTGGCACTTCAGATCTCAGCCTCCTGAGTAGCATGAGGCACTGGCACCTGGCTCATAAGTCATTTTGTAACTTTGAACTTTAGGAATCACTGGTACCCTAGCAGTTATGATACAAATGAATCCAATCCCAGGCCAGGGAAGAACTGAACACTCAACTCAGAGAAACAAATGGAGAATGGTGGTTATCAGAGGCTAGGACGTGGGGAGGAAATGTGGATGATATAAAGAAAAGGAAGAAACAAAAACTGTTGACTACACAATGAAGCTGTTCCTCAAAATTATAGTTTGTGCCAGTACCAGTTGTTCATTTGTGCCAGTATAGTCTAAGATCGGGTTCAAATTCAAGTGTACTCACCCAAACCCCAAGGGTCACGACACTGCGGTGTTCATCCTAGAGGAGAGGCATCCAGGAGCCCTCTGCCCAAAGGTGACCGTCACTGGAAGTGGACAAAGAAGGGTGGGAGCCAAGTCCCCAGTGGATTTCAAAAGCAAACTCCACCAGTATCCATTTGCCATTGAATATCTTAGCAATGCAGGGTTCCTATGCATTCTATAATATGAGTTTCAGAGGAAGTTGTTATTTGCCATGGAAACGGAACCAATTCTGGGTTACAAAAGGGAACATATGAGATGGGTAGAGATTGTGAGGTCCCTGTGGCTTCCTTCCTCTCCTTCCTAATTGCACATTTTATTTTCAGAGGCTAAAGAAATATTAAGTGCAAATAAAATCAATTGTTTTCCTTTTGAAGCTTCTGGGCATTTAGAAAGGGGAAACGAAACACCTTCCATTTTTGTGTCTGCGCACTTCTTATTCATGTAGAGAAGGGCACAGCAGAGCAGAGCAGAGCTTAGGAGACAAACTTCACATCTGCTTTGGAATTTACCAAATGACTCTCCCACTTGGTTTCTCTTCTCTGTAACCTCAACTCACCAGCAAGCCCCCAGCCAGAAGCTTCACAGGAAACTCAGGGCTGCACAACTCTTGTCCTAGCCAGGTGATTTCCTCTTATTTAGTGCCTACTGTATGTGGAGTGCTGTGTTCAACTGAATGAGATTAAGTAAAAAAAAAAAAAATCAGTTATTGACTAGGTGCTGGTGACTCAAGCCTCTAATCCCAGGTACTCAGGAGGTTGAGATCTGGAGATCCAGGTTTGAAACCAGCTTGAGCAGATCAATCTGAGAGACTCAGAAAAAGACAGAAACAGAGGTATGGCTCAAGTAGCAGAACACCGGCCTTGAGAAAAAAAAAAAAAAAAGCCCCAGTTACCAGCATAAAAAAAAAGAGGAAAGAAAAAGAAATCAGTTACTGGTCAAGCAGAATTATTTTCAATATATGATACGGAGTCGCCTTCTTTGCCAGAATTTATAGGTTTGCAATTTCAAGAAAGAACCAAGTTCTAGTTTGTCTTAGGGCCAGATATTTAGGAAATCTCTTAACAGATTCTATAAAGTTGGCATAAAATTTTAAGTAAATTCAGACATTTATCTGGCCAAACTCAGAATCTCCTCTAAAATTCCAGTCATGGATATTCCAAGGATGTTTTCCCACCTCCTTGCTCTATGAAGTCAAGTTTATTACAACTATGTCATGTTTAACAAATCTCACTTTTATGCTATGACCACTACTCCTTAAAAGGCATAGTATCAGACTTAGAATGTGGAACTAACAGTTTAGCCTCCGGATTCCATTCCTAGCTGTTTCTTAACTTCTAGCATGCCAACTGCTTAAAAGCTTGTTCTCCGAGATCACAACACAGATACTCCATCTTTCCCCAACATGTGGGAAAAAAAAAAACAAAAACCACAATTGGCATGTATAGAAAACCTGGATCACCCCGAAATACTCATGTGTATTTTTTTTCTATAGGCAAAAATACACCTACTAACAATCACTCAGGAAGCAAACACAAATTTGTATCAAGCTAAAGAATTCTGACCAATGTTCTGGCATTCAAAAAACAAATTTCAAAGCTGAGTGCTGGTGGCTCACACCTTGAATCCTAACTACTCAGGAGGCTGAGCTCTGAGGATCGAAGTTCAAAACCAGCCTGGGCAAACTAATCTGAGAGACTCCTAACTCCAATCAACCAGTAAAAAAAAAGCTAGACGTGGAGGTATAGCTCAAGTGGTAGAGTGCCAGACGTGAGTGAAAAAGCCACGCAAGAGCACAGGGGCCTTGAGTTCAAGACCCGGTACAGGCACAAACACAAAACAAAATTCACAGATGAAAAAATAGGGCTACTCAGGCCATTATTTCAGCAGCATAGGTGTCTGTTCTCTGTGAAATTCTCCTTGATCGCCAACTCTCCCTTCTATGTCCTCCTCAGCCACTAACACTATTATTCATAGCACTACTAACGATAATGTGAAGCTGTGGGCTGTTGCATGTAGTGCTCCCTGAGGATAATCATTCATCTTCTCAGTACCTGACACTCACTAAGTGCTGGTGGAGCCTTGGCACTTGTGTTCTGCTGTCCTTACCTTGCATGCACACCAGTGAAAAGTGACATGATACCCACAAGTTTACTTCTCACCTCCTTCCCTCCTCTCCAGCCTTCTGAGGAAGTGATGGACAAGTCCCACACATGGAAAAGCAAGAGAATTGCACTCATAGACTTGTTTTGTTTTTGTGCACCAGTACTGGGGTTTAGACTCTGGAGCATACATTCTTGCTTAGCTTTTTTTGCTCAAGGCTGGCACTCTACCACTTGAGCCACACCTTGACCTCTGGGGTGGGGGTGGTTAATTGGAGATAAGAATCTCTGGGGGGGGGGCTGGGAAGGTGGCTCGGTGGTAGAGCGCTTGCCTTGCATGCATGAGGCCTTGGGTTCGATTCCTCAGCACCACATAAGCAGAAAAAAAAAGCCGGAAGTGGCGCTGTGGCTCAAGTGGTAGAGCACTAGCCTTGAGCTGAAGAGCTGAGGGACAGCACCCAGGCCCAGAGTTCAGGCCCCACGACCAGACCCAAAAAAAAAAAAAGAAGGATCTCTTGGGGTTAGCTTCAAACCTCAATCCTCAGACCTCAGCCTCCTGGGTAGCTTGGAATACAGACATAAGCCACACCTAGTTTTAACTTACAGGAAGCTCTTTAGATATAGAAACAAAATCCCAACCTATTCCGACTGAATCACAGAAATTATGGGCTTATCATCGAGTCCTTTACCTTTCAAGATGTCCAATTTGGTCTATCTTCTACATGAGGACACAGAAAAGCTTTCTAAGAACGATCCCAGCCACACAGAGGGGAATGTTTAGGTCAAAGTGATGTGACACCAGCTAGTTTCACATTCAGGCCTAGAAGGACAAAAAGTGGGAAAGTTTATACCTCAGTTTACACCGACTCTGAAAGAAACTACCCATCCTCCATATTGCCAGAGCAATATTTGGAAGAAGAAACAGTAAGAAACCAATTAGGTCAAAAATAAGGAAGGCAAAACTGCTAAAACTCAAAACACAGCTGAAAGAGAGGGACATCTTAGTCCAAATCTACCCAACTGCAGACTGCTCCAGCAAATGGGAGCCTGGAGGGCAAAACCTACCAGACACAACAATCGCATTTGAATTTTTTGATTTTTTTAAGAAACAGAGTATCACTACAAATCCCAGATTGGCCTTAGACTTTCACCCTCCTCAGTTTCCTGAGTGCTGGGATTGCAAGCATGTATCACCTAGCCAGGATGAAAGTCTGACTTTAATCATTTAACTTTTTCTATAACCAAGAATGGCCACCACAGGATTTGTTCCAAGTCTTTCCTATGCTTCTGTCATTAGCAGAGAAAATGCTGAAAAACATCACAATCTAAAAGTCAAGTGTCCATAAAATAATTTAATTTTAAAAAGTATGTAGGCCAGGTGTTAGCTCACACTTGTAATCTTTGCTACTCAAGAGGCTGAGATAGGAGAATCATGGTTTGAAGCCAGCCCAGGAAGAAAAGTTCCTGAGACTCTTATCTCCATTAACCATTAACCAGCAAAAAGCTGGAAGTGGAGGTGTGGCTTAAGTGGTAGAGTACCAGCTTTGAGTAAAACAAGCTAAGAAAGAGTGTGATGTCCTAAGTTCAAGTCCCAATACTTGCACAAAAACCAAACAAAATTCAGATGGTCTGGGGGAATTTGTTAACCTGGGATTGGCTGGCTCCAAAGAGTCTGTATACAGACTCTACATAGATGGGTGATTGTGACCTGGCTAGAAAAAAAAACCCACACCCACACCCACACCCACTTGGATCTTTGATTATCTCGAAGTAAAAATTATTAGCCTTCAGTTGTGGATTTATTTTCAACAACTCATAACAATATTACCAATCCTATCCAACAGAACCACAATACATGTTCAGGTCACACTAGTTGTTGAAGACACCCAATATAATATGTACATTCACTGCTTGTTGCAAACTACAGTACTCCCTGGTGCCTGTGCTCATACCTGTAAACCTAGCTACACAGAAAGCCGAGATCTGAGGATCACAGTTCTAAGCCAGCCCATGCAGAAAAGCCCATAAGACACTTCTCTCCACTTAACCAGCTTAAAAAAAAGGCCTGAAGTAGACTTGTGGCTCAAGTGGTACAGCCTGAGTCTTGAGTGAACAAATGGAGAACGCTCTGACCTTGAGTTCAAGAATGCTGGCACAAATTTAAAAAGAAAAGAAAAAATATTACAGAGCTAGGCGCCAGTGGCTCACGCCTGTAACCCTAGCTACTCAGGAGGCTGGGATCTAAGGATCATGGTTCGAAGCCAGCCCAGGCAGGAAACTCTGTGAGTCTCTTATCTCCAATAAACCACTAGAAAACTGGAAGTGGTACTGTGTGTCTCAAGTGGTAGAGCGCTTGCCTTGAGCTGAAGAGCTCAGGGACAGCGCCCAAGCCCAGAGTTCAAGCCCCATGACTGACAAAAAATAAACACAAAATAAAATTACAGTATCAATTCACCTGCAACTACATTTTATCATTCAGTGTCATAAAAAAGCACACAACTAACATTTTGATAACTGTTTCTATTTCATATGGAACTTACTGTAGTTAATACTTGTCTACATCACTAAAGGAGAATAAACTTAGCCAGGTTCTAGTGACACACACCTATAATCCTAGCTCTTCAGGCTGAGGCTGAGATCTAAGCATAATGGTTTAAAGCCAGGCTGGATTAGAAAGTCCGTGCCTCAAGAATCTCCAATTCATCACTAAACAGCTGAAAGGGAAACTGTGGCTCAAGCAGAAGAGCACCAACCTTGAGAAAAAAAGGTTAAGCACCCTCGCCCTGAGTTCAAGCCTCAGAATCAGCACAAAAAAAAGGGGGGGGGGGTGGATTGAGAAGTTCTGGTCTAAAGCAAATGAAGTTTCTATAGAACCTACCACCATATTCACTGAGACAGCTAGATGAGTAAGTCATTCTATCCATGATTTCACAGTGGAAGATCAAGCTGCCAGGAAGCCAAGCCACAGACACACAGCATCTAGGTTAGCATTAGCTAGCGGTCTTCCTACTCTTCTACCTTGACCTCCATTTACATCTGCACAACTGCCAACTAATGTCCCACCACTAAATGGAAACCCACCACTACCTGGAAAAACGTATTATCTTTCCGAATTAAGCCAGACACTAGCAGCTCACAGCTATACTCCTAGCTACTCAGGAGGCTGAGATCTGAGGATCATGATTCAAAGCTAGCCTGGGAAGGAAAGTCTGTGAGACTGATCTCCAATGAACCAGCAAAAATGAAGATTTGGAGCTGTGGCTCATGGTAACCAGCCTTGGGCAAGAAAGCTAAGGCAGTGCACAAGACACCCTTGAGCTCAAGTCCCAGAACCAGCACACACACACATAAATTAATTTAACAATATATAAAACCAAAAGTCAATTCCAAAGAACAAGAATGATTTATAAATTACTTTTTCAAAAAAACTATGTTGCTATAGTTGTTATAAACGATGAAGTTGGTCTGTTAGTGAGACAAGTGGAAAAAAAAATTGGGCTCCATAATCTGTCTTTCTCAGAGGTGTCCAAAGTATCTGCAGACAGGCATTAACTTGCTATGCTGAATTGAGTTATGGGTCATTAGAGCAGGTAACATCATCAGCACTTCATATATGGGAGGACTAGAGATAAATAGGAGAGATTTGTTTAAAGCCACATGAGTGTAAATCATGAAACTGGAAAACAAACTTTTTTTTTGGAGGAGGAGTAAATCTGCTTAAGACAAGTCTCCAAGTTTTCTGCTCAGGCTGGCTTTGAACTTTGATCTCAGTTTCCTAAGTAGATAGGATTACAGACCACCAGCACCAGGCTCTATTTTCTTTTCTTTTTTGGCCAGTTCTGGGGGTTGAACTCAGAGCCTGGGCGCTGTCCCTCAGCTAGTTTCCTCAAGGCTAACATTCTACCACTTGGAGCCACAGCTCCACTTCCTGTTTTTGAGTGATTAATTGGAGATAAGAGTCTCACAGGGACTTTCTGCTGGGGCTGGCTTCAAAGGATGATCCTCAGATCTCAGCCTCCTGAGTAGCGATGACTACAGGCCTGAGCCCACCAGTGTCTGGCTTTCTACTTTATTCTTACAATTTGCTAATCTCAATTCTTCACTTGGACTTTGCATACAAGGGCCCAACTTTCCACCCTCCAATATACACATTTAATTCCTCAATGTATGGAAGACTAACTGATCCACAAGGAAATTTCTTGTTGTGAGTGTATTTGGCTTAAGCTAAGGCCTAATCTCGATTTTTTTTTTCACTCAAAGCTGGTGTTCTATTCCTTGAGCCACAGCTCCACTTCCAGCAGATTTTTTTTTTTTTTTGCTGGTGAATTAGAGATAAGAGTTTCATGGACTTTTCTGCTTGGGCTGGCTTCCAAAGGTGATCCTGAGCTCTCAGCCTCCAGAGCAGCAAGGATTACGGGTGTGGGTGGCTCCAACGTGTAACTTTCCATGGGGGCCACGCAGTCACCTTCCCCTGAGGTCACCAGGATCTTAACTTTGTGTCAGTTCTTCTCCACCGTGGAGACCATCTTCACAAGAGGAAGTTTCTGTCCATCTCTCCACCTGGTCTCACAACTTTACTAAGTTACCCCAACTGGCTTCCAGGTGAGCTTTCAACGCGTTCCCCCAACACTCCCCGCCAGTCTTTCTTGCCCTCTGCAGGGCAGACCCGGGGACCTCCTCTGTACTCGGTACCCTGCACACAGGGCCCCGGCAACGCCACCGCAGGCCCCGGACCTCCCCCACCAGCCCGGCCGCGGCTCCCCTCCTCCCCCGGGTTATCTCCATCCCACTCACCCGGCTCGCCCAACACCCACCCGTGACATCGGGAGTCCCCGCAACTTTCGGGGGGCTACGGACGAGGGCTCCGCTCCCTGACCCCTACGATGGTTCAGGGACCCCGAGCGCCGCCGCTCACCTGTGGGAGGCCCCCCCCGACCCCCGACCCCCCGCGTTCCTCCACCCTTCAACAAGTCACCGGCCTGCAAAGTCTCCTCCACCTCCATCATCTCCGGGGCCGGGGGGGCGGGGAGCCTGCCGACCCCCACAAACTCAAACCTCCATTCTCGTTCAGCTCGCGATCTCGCTGCTCCGGCGCCCCCCTTTATCCCTCGACCCCGGAGGTGACCCTCTCGGAAACCCCGCTTAGGACACCATCTCCAACACCCTCGAGAGATGCCCGGCTCGAAAGGCACCCCGCCCCCCCCAGAGCTCCCC